TTCAACCAGCCATCCCCACTGGACCCACCTGGGAAAACACTTTGCAGTCCAGAAGGGAGCAAATGACAGGAAAATATCTTCTAACAGAACAAGAAGGCAAGCAGTCTTAACCCAAGTTCACCAGTAAGGTGATAAAGTGTCCTCCCTTTCCCCCTTCACATCAACACCTCTGTTCAGCATGAAGAAGCCAGAGAGTCGGCATCCAGTTCCTAAATCAATAAGGCAGTTGATTTAATTACCATTGGAAAATGCTTGTCATTTTCCTGTAGCATCTGGTCCCCACTGGATCCTTTTCATTTCCTTCACCTGCTCCCCCAACCAACCAATTTCTGCAGCTCACCAACTGCATCCCTGCCCATCCTCACCCTTCTGCCCCCAACCCTCACCTCCTTGTACCCCCAATATGTTTTATCCCCAATAAAAGAAAAAAAATTAAAAGTCCAACTTCAGGGGAGACAAATTGAAAAAGTCATTTTTCAGGCTGAAAATAAATTCAGTCTGTCAAGAAAAATGGTACAGTGGAAACAGGGAGTTTTTAGTGGAAAAACCTCACGCCAATCAGTGGAAATGACCAATATAACCACCACTAAGTATGACTGGAGTGCAGACTGGGAAACAATGTAATTAAATGTTCTGCTGTATTGAGATGCTAAAAAAGAAAAGAAGTTATGGAATGGTAAATCTTCTGTTAACAAAACAGGCAACCATCTCAGTTACTTGACGAACATTAGCTGTGCCTCTCCTTAAAAGACAGCTAAACTAAAAACCCATTGCTGTCAAGAAGATTTTGACGAGTAGGGCAGAACTGCCCCAGTGGGTTCCCATGTTGTAAATTCTTATGAGAGCAAGAATGCACTTCTGAGTGGCTGTTAGGTTCAAAGTGCTGATCTTTTGATTAGCAATGAGTACCTTCTCTATTGTGCCACCAGGTATCCTTAAAAGAGAATTAGTATGTGTATGCACAAAATTGCTCATTCATAAATTCCTTCAATGTGACTTAATCTTTTGGTTTAGGTGCTTTTATTTTCTACCAATACTCTCTAGAGGAATATCAATCACATCCCAAATACAGTATATATTTACCAAATCATTTTACTTTGTTAACAAAATGACTGAAAAATACACGTGACTTGATAAAAACAGCAGGGAAGAAATGAGGATGGATTCAAATGAATGAAGCTATGGTTTGGTCTGTCTCGTTTCCAGTGCTTTCATTACTACCTCTGGTTTGTCAGAAAACTCAACAAAGTACAATTACTGGCTCTTGAAATAAAATGGAGTTCTTCATCAAAAGTTTAATGTTTTTAAACTAAAAAAAAACTCACTGTTGTCAAGTCAAATTCATAGACAATCCTCCAGAGGGTTTCAGAGGCTATAAATGGAGCCTGTCCATCATTTTCTCTCTGAGCCACTAGTGGATTTTCTACTCTAGAGAAGCAGGATCTTTAGCAGTGCCAAGTCCCTATTATGCCAATAGAGCAAACTCAAAACAGGATCAAAATATCATCCATAATAGGTTAAGTGGCAATGATACAGTGTGTCAGAAAAGAGAAAGCCAGGAAATCTAATTGAGTGATTTCTGCTTCTTAAGTCTGCCAGCAAGACTAGCCATTCAGTTCTGAAATATCAGGTCTTCAAAAAGCACCCATAAATAAAAGAGGAACATCGTTGGATAAGTGAAATTTTGGAGGCCAGCACTCACTTCTTTCTTGGAAGAAATTCCTGATGATCTACTTTAAAAAGTCAGTTACTGAAAGAATTCTGACCCATATGTCAAAATCAACTTGACAGTCATTGCTTTTGGGAGACTCAAGAACTAAATGCTCACTCGCTACACACAACGTCTACAGTTTAAACCCACCCATGACTTTTGATGAAGAAAAAACTGGTAATCTGCTCTGTTAAGGATCACAGTCTATACAACCCTATGATGCCATTCTACTCTGGCATGTGGAGCTGCTGAGTTGAAACTAACAATATTTTTTTTAAAATGTTGTAGTACATTTTACATAAATCTATGAGTATATTCAAATTGCTAACATCAGCAAATTATTTTTCCTTGTTTCCTTTTTAGTGAAAATCTTCAATATTTATTTTAAAATCTTTCTGTTCTTTCCCTCAATCTCCTTAATTCCATTTCCACTACTCTAGTTTTTATTCTATTCACTGTCGTTGCTGTGTACCATTAGTCTTCATAGCCTCAATTTCTCCCACTTCTGGCTTCTTCCTTTCAGACTACAAACATGCTCTTCTTACTCAATTTAAAATTGTTACCCCTAGGATTGTTATGTGCCATCCTTGAGTTGTCTGTGACTCATAGAGACCTTACGTACAATACCTCTAAGCTCCGCCCTGTCCTGAGCCAATCTGTCTCAGACAGACCTACTCCCATTGCCCCAGCTATTGTATCAATCTATCTCATCCAGAGTCTTCCTCTCCTGAGCTGTTCTTCACCCTTCCAAGCATGATGACAGTTCTACAAGAACTGGTCCCTCCTGTGCACATGCCCAAATTATGTGAGATGGGAGCTTCAACATCCTTGACTCCAAGGATCAGCTTGGTTTCATCCTACCCAAGACAGACCTGTTTGTTCTCTTGGCAGTCCATGGTATGTTCAACACTCTTCTCCAGCACCACAACTGAAAGGCATTGATTCCTCTTGTCATCCTTAGACACTGTACACCTCTCTAATGCATAGCAAGTAATTGCAAAGACCATAGCCTCAATCAGGCACACCATAGTCTCAAGACTGATATTGTTGCTCTTTACTCATAGCTGACCCTACAGTGGGTTTTCAGAAGGAGTAAATGGTACATGAAGAGTATCACCCGCAGAGCAACTGGGGCGTTCGAACCACAGTCCTTTGGGTTGCCACATCAGTAGCCTTATTGATACTTCCTTTCCCTGGAACCCTTCTGTACTTAGCTCCTCTCGCCGCACATATGTTTCAATACTTCCCAAAAACTAACGTGGAGAGCACCTGTTTAACAATGATCTACCTTACTTCTCGACCCAACCACCTACTATAGTCCAAAAGCAGTATCACAATATATAGAGAGAGACGTTGCCTCTATTTTACCTCCCACAAACTGCAGGCTCTTAAAACACTGTCTACTCAGAACATCAACCACTCCAGAGCAATCTTTCGAAAATCAAAGCAGAAGGGTCACTGCTGTAGCCTGGAAGGGGTTCATTTACCTGTATTCTGGTACAGCTCTACCCTTGCCCCAGCAGTCATCACCGTGGGTACACCCCTTGACGACGCCACAAGTGATCCACGCACCTGAGTGACCAGTCCTGAAGCTACAAAACGGCCCAGCAGTAGTCCGGCAGCATTTGGAGCCGAAGCTGGGTCCCAAGGATTAGCAGCCATGGTTGGAAGTCTCAACCCAGAGGGGACCAGAAGGAAAACTGAACGCGCGCGCGAACAGGCGGCGCGGCTCGATGACGTCACGGGCGTTACGCCTAGGCGGAAGCCCGCGGAGCGCATCCCCGCGGAGCGCGAGTCAGGGCTTGTATTCTGCCGAGCAGTCTGTGAACTAGGGTAGGAGGCGATCCTAAGGCTCCCTGATCCTCCATGACCTCCCTAAGGCGCCTAGCTCCTGAAGAGCTGCGAAAGCAGCTGACCTTGGTGTCCAGACTTTCTGTCCTCCTCTTTGTTCCTTTCCACTCCTGGGCCAGCCCCCAGGATCCAGGGTTCCGCGGGAGGTGGCTGCTGGGGCCTGAGGCCAAGCCGGGAGGCTCGTGGAGTGTCAAGGTGTGGTCGTGGGCTGTGCGGTGATGCTTGCGCTTCTTTCCTGCAGGCACCTGAGCTGCGGCGCTAGGATGGGGAATAGTGCCCTGCGTGCTCATGTGGAAACTGCTCAGAAAACGGGTGTCTTTCAACTCAAGGACCGTGGACTGACAGAGGTAAGACAGGGAGGGATCCGACCAGGAATTTTAGGGGAAAGGGACGACGGGGGCGGTGAAGTTAATTTGTGAGGGGTTGTCCACGCTGTGAACCCCTTTCTCCAGTTCCCCTTAGAGTTGCAGAAGCTGACAAGCAATCTCAGGACCATCGACTTGTCCAACAACAAGATCGAGAGCCTACCGCCTATGCTGATAGGGAAGTTCACTCTGCTGAAGAGCCTCTCCCTGAACAACAACAAACTGAGTATGGCTTCTGTGCCTGGGAAGCTTTTGCTAGTGATCAGCTGCTAAGAAGGGTGGTTTTCTCTTACAAGCTGATTTTGTTGTTGTTAGAAAGCCGTTCAGGGGGCTCGAGATGCAGGAGAATGAAGCTTTTTCTTGTAATTACATGTTCAGGCTTCCAGAGGTAGTTTGATGGTACTGGGTCAAGTTGAACTTGAAAATGAAGAATGATCTCTGAGATAAACTGTAAACAAGGCTACCTGGTTTGAAGGGGGAGTATGATGTAATCTGGCCTTATAAATATTATAAAATTGCTGTTGCATTGTGCCAAGGCCCCTATGGAAAGGGAACCCATTTTCCACAAATGCCTTACACCACCTTCCTACTCATTTTGATGTCGCCCTCACCTCCTGAAGATTACAGTTGGTCCAATAGCACAAAATACAGAAATTCTACATATTCTAACAAGAGGTAAAGCAGACTGTCCTATAGTCTAGATGCTAAGTAAGGTTGATTTTTCAACAGTATTTGGTTCAGTTTTTTAAAATTTTTCTTTGCCAGCTGTTCTGCCTGATGAGTTATGCAATCTGAAAAAACTAGAAATGCTAAGCCTAAACAACAATCACCTGGTAGAGCTACCGTCTACTTTCGGGCAACTCTCTGCTCTCAAGACCCTAAGTCTCTCTGGGAACCAGCTCCGCGCACTGCCACCTCAGCTTTGTAGCCTGCGACACCTGGATGTAATGGATCTGTCTAAGAACCAGATTCGGAGCATACCTGACATAGTGGGGGAGCTGCAGGTCATCGAACTCAACCTCAACCAGAACCAGGTCTCAAGCTCAAGGATTTTTCCTAAAGCATGTGTGGGTTTATGATCTCCTGAATAACTCTTTGTTCCCTAACTGTAATCATGGGAGCTGGCTATCAGTGGCTAAATGAGAGGAGTATTTTATGGACTGAACTATTATTATCAAAGCCCAAAGTTTCATCATAGTTGGAAGGTACTGAGTATGTTTGTTATGTAGGTGTTTCTAGAAGGATGAAAGAATTGCAATAATTAAAGTACTGCCTAAAAATTGTGAGGAGTTCTTTTTATCCACCTCAAATATCCCCAATAATTTAAAAAGAACCAGTGTCAGGACAATAAAGTAGAAAAAGAAACAGAAAGTCTTAGGCTCTCAATTGGACATTATATTCTTTACTTTAACATCTTTGTCAAAGTGTGTCTTGCTTTTGTTGAAAAAAAACTCAGTAGGCTTTCTGAAGATGGCTCCTTTCATTGCTGGATAGCTTTAGCTGTAATAATTGACATTTCCATTATTTTGGAAGTTCTTTAGATGACGAGAATATGTCTGGAGAAACAATTTTTGGTATAAGCATAAGGCACAAATGATAAAACATTCAGCAGAATAAGACTGGTTGATCTTTAAGTAATTAAAATTAGACCATTCTCAATCTAGCCACATTCAAGAGCTTAATAACCACATGTGACTGATGGCAACTATATAACACAGATAAAAAAACATTTCTTTCCATCACTGCAAAAAGTTTGTTGGGCAGTATTGTTTTGGAATGTAAGCATACAGTTTGGAGAATTTATTTTAGAAAATACAGTTTTTTGGTATGATATGTTCAACTGTACTTTATATAGAGGTACATTATAAACTATAAAACATTATTCAACATTAGGGCATACCAAAATCTTCTATGGCTCATTTTTTTTCCCTGCAGGTAATGTTGCTTTCCCTAAACGCTTATTTCTGTATAAGAATCCCTATGTTTGAGAATTATAGTATCTTTACATTATGATAAAAATCATTCTAAGAAGAGATAGGCTTCTTTCCTCTAGATTAGAAATTATTATGTGTTCTTGATATTTTTGGAAAAGAAAAATATGAATTAATAAGCAAGAACCGTTAGTTGGAATCCACTTGACACGTAAGTTGAGCATTTATGCCAACCTCAGCTCTACTATGCTCAAATCAGTGATTCTTGGACTTTAACTAGAGGATATGTAAAGAGATCACTTGAGCTCCCCCCTCTTTTTTTAGAGATTCAGTATATATGAATATCAAGCCCATGAATCTGCATTTGTAACAAGTTCCTAGGTCTAGATTTGAGAATCACTGTCCTCCACAGACCCAGCAAGCAGAGTCAGAATTTAGTGAGGCATGTCAGTTAGAAAGCAAAAGAGGTGGATTAGTAAAAAATAACATTGACTTTGAGAACCTAAAAGAGGTTAAGCCAATACAGATATAAATACAGATTCTTAGGTCATAACAAGTGAAAGCTATAAAATAGATGAGCTTTCTAAGAGAAAGCATAGAGAAAAATAAGAAATGTTAGGGACTACAGTTTGAAAAGTACCCATAAGATGACGAAGGGACACCAGATAGAAAATCATTTTAAAGGTAGAGGGTAGAAAGCCAAGTAATTAAACAAGAATTTTTAAAAAGAGATACTTATATTGTCAAATGCAACGAAAGATGTGAGCAGGCAGTGACTTTGGCAGTAAACCAATCAGTATGTATGTACACAAAAAAAGTGTGCCAAAATATGTATAGCGGATATTTTTAGGTGGTAGGATTGCTGGCAGTGTTTTTTTCTTTAAATTTGTGTGATTCTCAAATTTTCTAAAATGAACTTCCATTGTCAGAAGGCTGCTTTCATTATCAGAAAATTGTTTTCAAAGTCATGGGTGATCTATAAAAGCAATTTGGAGGAGTAGTGACAGAACCAGATAATTGAGGCTTCTGAAGTAAGTATAGAATAAGAAAAAGGAAGCAGCTGGGATTTTGAAGCTCCATTTCTTACGTTGGGCATGTGGCCAGGAGGGACCAATCCTTGGAGAAGGACATCATGCTCAGAAGAGCGGAGGGTCAGCGCAGGAGAGGAAGACCCCAGATGAGATGGATTGATACAGTAACTGGGGCAGTCGGAGTTGGTGTGCCAGAGTCAGACTGGCTCAGGACAAGGCAGGCTTCAGAGCTGTTGTACATAGGGTTGCTATGAGTTGCAGGCAACTTGATGGCACATAATAACAAGACCAATAGTCAAGTAAAGTTTTGTTTTTAATATGTTGCCCATTATGCTTTTTCTGATCATGCTTTTTGTTTTATAGATATCTCAAATATCAGTGAAGATATCTTGCTGTCCTCGTCTTAAAGTTCTTCGTCTGGAAGAGAATTGTCTTGAGCTCAGCATGCTTCCCCAGAGCATCCTTAGTGATTCCCAGATATGTCTGCTTGCTGTAGAAGGCAATCTTTTTGAGATAAAGAAACTTAGAGAACTGGAAGGCTATGATAAGGTATGTATTAGTGCATGGCAGTATTTCTAACCACTACCCAAAAGAAGGGTGGTGAAGTAATCCACATCAATGTTCATAAAATCAACAGGATTTGATCTTCCCTCATTTTGGACATCAGGTCTATAAATGATCTAAATGCAAGTATATTGTGTCAACATAAATTTTCCCCTCAACAAAATAACTCAACTCATTGCCACTGACTCTGACTCATAGCTGACCCTCTAGAGGCTATACGTTCCTCAGAAGATTGTCCATCTTCCTCCTGAGGAGCAGTTGGTGGATTCAAACACTAGCCTTCTGGGTTGGGAGCACAACTCCTTACCCATTAGACTACCAGAGCTATTTTCCCCAAGACAACTTATTATAAAGCATTTTTGTCTTGTTTCTGATTTTTTTTTTTAAGAAGTAGGTGCTTTACATTTGCATTTATAATAGCAGGTAGGTTTTGTTTCAGGGGAAAGGTGGGCATTCTAAATCCCAATAGATTTATTTCTTCTGAAAACTCACTATAAGGTCATCTGAGTCAGTTTGAACTAAACAATATGCAACAACAGTAGATTCTGACGGATCATATCCAATAAAATGGAAAACATCCCAAAACTTTAAGTAACAAATAACTTTGTATTATTTTCATTTACTGAATAGCAAATGCTTTTGCTTTCTCTTTCATGATTTTAGTACATGGAGAGGTTCACGGCTACCAAGAAGAAGTTTGCATGATGTTCTTCAGGAGCATGAGAAGATTATAGTATACTGACTTGGAACCTTTCGGAACCTGGCTGAATCAAAGGCTCCTGTCATTAAGGGTATCTGGAGTAAGGAGATTACACTCCAGGAGATATTTCACTCAGCAGTCTTTGTCCTTTACAGGGCTCACTTAAGATAAGCTAAAAGGAGGACTGAAACACATGAAGAGGCCTTTGTTTGGAATTGGGTAGGGTAGGGCAGTGGACAGTGTTGATCTTTAAAACCATCATGATTGTTGTTTAAGAAATGAGGAGTCAGCTGCTATTTATACAATGAGGGGGTGCTGCCTAGTAACAAAATAGCTCGAAAACATCACAGCTTGAAATTTTTATTTAGTTTCAAAGTGTGAACTTAGATAAAGTCAGTTGCCATTCCACCTGTGTTAACACTTCATGTGTTTAAAAAAAATGGAAGTCACTTGTGAGGGGGCTGCTATACTTAATCTAAAGATGTATGATTTTATTCATTTGTCCATTCAATTGCATTGTTTATCCTTAGCATTTAGGATGCATCTAAATAATATGTGATTGTCTGTCTTGATTAAATGTGTGTTTGTCAGAGAAGCATCAAAACAGTAAGAGATACTCCCCAAGGCTGCAATAGTAAGTTCTTTACTATTGCAGGTGCCTTATTGGTAGAAGTCTCTAAAGAGAGAAAACTGTATATGCAAAACTTGTAAGAAAAAAGTAATTTTAATAATCAAGATATTCCTGAACTTTTGTTAAAAATGTCTTTTTTTCTTTCCCTCTTTGTATTTATAACTATTAATTTTAAAAAAGCCCTGTCAAGAATCATCGCTACAATATTTTAAATATTTTAAAAGCACTATGTTTATCAAGTTTGTTCTCTTAATGAGAAAATATACTAAATAAAGAATTTCTAATGAACTTTGGCTAAAAACAAGATTAGTCCTTTAAAGCAAGAAGTCCTTTAGCCAGTAAGTGGTGTTTTCTTCTAATCTTGAAAGTAAACTTAAAAAAAAAAAAAAAAAAGTAAACTTGTTTTTATTAGGTTCCATCAAGTTGGCTGTGACTCATAGTGACCCCATGTGCAACCCTGCCCAATCCTGCACCCTGCTCATTCTCCACTGTTCTCAAGTCCATTGTTGCAGTAACTGTCAATCCATCTCATTGATGTTTTATGTCCTTGTTATAATGAGTAGTGAAATGCCTTCATGTTACTAGTGGTAAACATTTTTTAAGTATGTGAGCCATGCTATTAAGAAAATCTGAAGGTTCAAAAGGAGGTTGTCACTAAAAGAACAGTTAGAGAGCTGCCACTCTTGGCATTCTCTCAACTGCTCTCCTTGCCGAGGTGCTATTCTTAGTCAAACACTGACAGTTCTTGACTTACAAATCTAATTTAGCCATCAAGTCCAGAGATCACAAGAGCACAGTATTTAATCTAGAAGAGTTTCACTGACTTTAGATCTGGTCTGGGGATTCATTTTTTCCTGTATGTTCTTTTCTGTTTTCTCAGTTTGCGGAGTGATGGGAGGTAGGAGGAATTCTGGCATTTTATCAATTGAGGAGTTTAAATTTTTTATAAACATTGATGTTTATTTATGAATCCACTAAATCATTTGCATTTCTCTATTTCACCAGTACTTATGGATAACATAAATTCCCCCATTTAATTAATTGTCATTTTAAAATCTATCCCTACCCTTAGAGAATTAATGACTGCTACCTTTCCTACCTGGGACCCAAACTTATTTGCAATTAGTCTTTTCTCTTTCATTTCTCTCCCTAACCGTCCCTTTCATCTGCTTTTACATTGTCCACTCAGGAATGCCCTAACATACTTCCCTGTCTAAAACCTTTACAAGTCTAAGCCGAGTTAACAGTTCCCATCTGTTAACATAGCATGGCTTACGTTCTATATTTATGTCCCTGTTTCCAGTGTAGGCTCTTGCTAAACTGAGGGCAGGGACTTTATTAGTTTATATATTGGTATATAAATTACTTTATATGTAAATAACACCTACGAGGGAATTCTGGTGGCTTAGTGGTAGGAATTGTGCTGCCAACACAAATGCACTCAGTTCAAATCCACTCCCTATTCCATGAAAAATAGATAGACAATCTCTTGCTGTGCAGTTTACTGCCTCTGAAAATTTGCTGCAGGGTCAGCTGTAGGTCGGTTCCAACTTAACAGTATACAAATATTTATATCCAAATATGGGTTAACAAAGTAGCTTAATTTGTAGAGAACTTATTTCTGTTTTTGTCACCAGTTCTGTTGTTTGCTGTTGTTAGGTGCTGTCGAGTGTAACTCTGACTCTATGAACTAAAGATCTGAACCCTGCTCTATCCTGCGCCATCCTCACACTGCCTGATACACAGAGCCCACTGCAGCAGTCACCATGTCAATCCACCTGATTGAGGGTTTTCTCTTTGCTAACCCTCCACGTTTCCCAACATCATGTCCTCCAAGGAACATGCCTCCCCTCCTAGCAACATGCCCAAAGTATGTAGGCAAATTCTTTAGATCTTGGTTTGAAGTCAGTGGAATATATTGAACAGGGAATATTTTTCCATTTAGTTAGGTCTCTGTTTCTTCTTGTTATTTACCATTGAGTCGGAACCAACCTCTAGTTGACCCTCTAGTGGGTTCTAGCAGGTTTTCAGAGGCAGTTAATCACATGGGAGGACTGCTCATCCTTCTCCCACGGAGCAGCCGGTAGTTACAGACCCGTGCCTTCAGGATTGCAGCGCTGCTACTTGCCACTAGGCCACCAAAGCTCGGTGTAATACATTGAATAAGATGATAGGCCCTGTGGCCTTGTGGAAAAAAGCTACACTGTAATCCTGAAAGCCCATGGTTCGAATCCACCAAATGCTCTGCTGGAGAAGGATGGGCACGCAATCTCTTCTTCTTCCAGTCAGATCTGACTTGATGATATACAAGGGGAGGGGGTAAGATCATACATAGGCCCTGACAGAAAAAATAGGGGTTTTAATCTAGTCTGTCATTTACTAGCTTTGTGAATTGGGGCAGTGTTACAAGGATATGGTGAAAAGCACATTTATAAACAAGCACTCAGTAAATGGTGCCGTCTACTTCAAGTATTCATTATAAAAGTAGAATTTAGCAAGCTGTGCAGAATGAGATTTGAATCAGCACTGCATTAAGAAACTTGAATAGCACTCTGAAAACTCTTAAATCTGCTTGGGAATACAAGAATAAACCTAGATTTTTTTTAGTAAATGAGTGAACTAAAGAAAACAGCCTCTAACGAAATGAATTCTAAATGCAACTGAGTACAGGATGGCTTGGAAACAGAAGCTGAAAAGTCATAATTCACGTATGGCATGCCATGTTTACACTGCCCTATAATAATAACAATGTACTCACACCATTCATTCTACACTCTACAAGAGTCCTGCTTAGCATTGTCTGAATGGAAACTCGAAGAGAAGGCTAACTCAGGGGCTCTCAAACTATGAGTGGTCCTATGAACAGTAGATTGAAACCTTGCCCTACTGTGAGCCATCCTTACAATCTCTGCCATGCTCAAAAAAATTGTTGTAACTGTTGAATCAGCCCATCTCATTGAGAGTCTTCTACTCTTTCATGGACCATCTATTACCCAAGCATGAAGAAATTCTCCAGGGATAGGCCTCTCCTGATAATATGCCCAAAGTTTTTAAGACAAAGGACCATCATTCTTGCCTGTAAGAAGAACTCTTGAAAAAAAAATAAAAAGAACTCTAGTTCTAGTCCGCTTCAAAAGTCCCTCAATATTAATATTAAAACAGCCCTGGCACATGAGTTAGAAACCGATAACAGATTTCTTGGAAAGTCAGAATGAGGAAATTAGATTCTTAGTTTCACCATTTTATTGGCTTTCAGTTCAAATACTGGCTTCATCTTAAAATTTGGATGATTATAACACTTGGCAAATAGGAAGATATCTAATTATTAAGCCAAAGAATAAATTAGACTTTTCATTAATCATTCCAATGTAATTTTAGTATTTAACCTAATGAGCACTTGCTAAATTCTGGCATGGACTTAAATGCCTTTAACCACTGGGCAGTTGAGAAATATGACCCAGATTAGTATAGTGTTCAAAAGGTAGGCTTTAGATCTTGTATCTTCAACCATTTCAGAGCTACTTTTGAAAAAAAGTATTAGAAACAAGTTTCCCAGTCAATATTAGGGAGAAAATCAGGGGGCAGGAGGAAAGGCTTTAAAGTCAACAGTTTTCCATTTCTAGTGCACTATCAGCCTTCTGCATCTATTTTGTATAGGGCCCTTTCTATGGCCTCATTATTCCTCTTTCCCAAGAACAGAAGCTTTGGAAAAGTTCATACCTCGAGACCCCTGAATGGACTTTTCAGGGCCTCCATGATCCTCACTGGTGCATGATTCAGGTTTGTGTTTTTCTGAGAAGCAGGGCTATGTTTCTTTCATCAATTCACAAAGGTATCAGTGGCCCCAAAAGATTTCCACTCTAGAGATAATGGGAGCTCTGGTAGATAAGTGGTTAAGGAGTTGTGCTGCCAACCCAAAGTTATGTGCAGTCGAGTCGCCTGCAACTCATAGTGGCCCTATATACAACAGCCCTAAACCCTGCTCTTCCTGTGTCAATCTCACTCTCTGACACAACTACCCCATTACCCCAGTTACTGAATCAATCCACCTCATAAAGGGTCTTCCTCTCCTGCACTGTTCCTCCACCCTCCCAAGTATGGCATCCTTCTCCAAGGACTGGTCCCTCCTTGCAACATGTCCAAAGTATGTCAGACGTCCTTGCCTCCAAGGAGCAGCCTTGAACCTATTAATTTTCTTAGCAGTCCATGGTCTATTCGTCTTCTCCAACACCACAGCTCAAAGGGGATGGTTCAAATCTACAGCAGCTATAAGAAGTAAAGATGGGCAATCTCCTCCAATGTTGTTTATAGCCTCTGAAAACCTGCTGGAAGGTCAGCTATGACTTTGTTCTGACTCAACAGTACATATCTACA